AACCCGTCGACTGCTCTCTGGCGCAGGAGCGCAGCTCCTCAGCCAGGCGCACAGGGATCAGGTGTGCAGCCCCGGCGCGGCCTCAGGGCTCACATCCTGACTCTGCCACTGGCCGTGCAGCCGCAGGGCTAGTGAATTGATCGCCTTCAGCCTCAGTTTGCTCATCTGTCAAATGGGCATAATAATACCACAGTTTGACCACTCCAAGAAGCCACCGAAATGCAGCATCATGAACCAGGAAGAAAAAAAAAGATTGTAACTAATTATAAAATGGCCCACTGACTTGAAGACTTATAGGTACTTTACAAATGTTTTGAGTTGCCACATAAAATACAGTATGTCCAGTTAAATTTAAAATTCTGATAAAAAATGAATAGTGCTTAGGATCAGCTTATCTTATTTGGAGCATACTACTTGGGATATGTCTATACAAAAAAAAAAGAAAAAATATTGTTTATTCAGATTTCAAATGTAATTGGGATCCTGCAATTTATTTGCTAACTAGGGTAATTCTAGTTATAAAGGCCAAAAATGTATGTCCTAGACTGGGTGAAACGTGGTAGCATATGCTGCACTGGCAGACACGGGCTGCATAGATAAACAGGAAAAGTCTCAGCCCGGCGTCTGGCACACAGTGGGCCCTCGGAAAGTGATAGGTAGTGCAAAGAGCCCGAACCACCAGCCTGCAGCCCCGGCAGGACCCTCTGTTCCTCCCCAGGCCTTGGCTCAGACCTTCTCGCCCTGAAAGAATCCAATATATTTATTCAGTGAAGAGAGGCTCCTTTTTCTTTCTTTCTGAATGGAAAAATACCCCTTTAAAAAATTCAGTGAATGGGGAGCTTCCACTTTGTTTTTCACCCCCTTTCTGTACTGATTCCCCTGTTCTCAATGCTTTGAAATGCCCCCAGGGTTGGGGGGGAGTCTGTTCTGAACAGTCTCTGAAGTCTGGAAGGAGAATCCTTTCAGATAAGCCCTGACTGAGCTCCTCGCCTCCACAGGGCCTACACCCCTCCAGGAGCGCCTTGGAGTCTCTACCTTTGAGATCTCAGGTGTCTGCCGCCAATTACATTTCTGCCCAGCTCCAGAAGCTGCTTAATTAGCCTAATTGCAGGGTTGCGGCAGCAGGCTGCCTGGGGAGGGGTGTTAACCCTGTATTTCCTGGGCACATTGCAGGTTCCCAGGACTCCCGGTGGTCCCTTTAGCAAAGTTTTCTTGCAGTGGCCAGAACCCACTACAGTTTGTTCAGAGTCCCATCTGTCTCAAAACAATACTAATGTAAAAATAATAGTAACATGTACGCACAGCCAAAAATTTTAAATAAGAAGTGGTATCAGTTGAATGCTATGTACAGTTCATTACATGTTTTACATAGATATATTCACCCATATGTCTAGTCCATTTATTTTGCACAAATGAAATTATACAATATATATGCATAGGTGACCTGCCTTGGTGGCTGAAAGGTACACCTTGTCTTTAATGTCTACACTTTAGAGTCAACTGTTCTTTCTTATAAAGCTACGTCATAGTCAATAGGAGGGACATGTCATAATTCATTTAATGAGCTTCCTATTATGAAACACTTAGGGTGCTTCCAGATTTGTGCCAGGCATCCCCCCCCCGTCCCTGCCCCAATAACATGCAAAGAAACAAATGAAACATGGAAACATCCCTGATCTGGTGGTGGTACAGCGAGTGTTGTCTGGACCAATCAGAAGGCAGTAGGCAGTGAGAGGGAGCAGGGTCCTGGGGTTCCCCAGGGGAACCAGTGTTAACCCTTTAGTTGCTGGATCCTGGGACTCCCCAGATGGCTCCAGGGAAAGGCCAAGGCAACCTGGGGGGGGGGGGTGGACTGATGGGCTAGGGGAAGCAGCTTTTGACCATCAGTATAGAAACCCTCCTGTATCTTAATGTCAATGTTTCTCCTGGTCATCCTTGTTGACTATCATCCCTGTTTGAGTATATCCACAGATTTCTAACTCTAGAATTCCTGGGTCAAACAATATGAACACTTCATCTCAATTATCAAACTTTATCCCTATTATCAAGCTTTTCTTAGGAGTATTTTCTTGTGCGGAATTTAAAAAATAATATTAATAGATGATATTTATGAGAGCCAGGCACCTGACTGGCTACATCTGATAGCCTGCAATCTCCCCAAGAGCGCTATGCGGCTGGTATTTTTACCACACCCCTTAACAGGTGGGGAAACTGAGACTGACGTGAATCACATAGCAAGCCAGCGGTGATGCTGGGTTTCAAACCTGTTTCCATAGGACCCTGCAGGGACCACTCCGTTGACTTTCTCCATCCTAAGGAGACGTGAAGAGGAGAGGGAGGCCCACAGTTCTGGCCTCGCGGGGTCGTGAGCTCACGCAGACACAACACACAGCCAGGTGCAGATGGAGATAAGATGCTGTGATGAGACCTAAGGGGACAAAGAGACGAAAGAATGCGACAGATGTCAGGGTGCTGTCAACAGGGATCCATGGTGTCACAGGGGAGCTCCCCGTGATCGGCTACATGGACTTGCCTTCTTGGGGTCTTGGGTTCTTTATCAGGAAATGTGAACAATAACCCAGCCTAGCGGGGCTGCAAAGGGAACCGAGTTAACCCACATGAAGGACTGTGGCCTGGCAGGTATTCTTTGGTCTATGCGTAAGTACAAAGGCCCCTTCAAACTTTCAAGAACGTAATTCTGTGATATCAGAAGGGGGAAGCCTGTCCTTTAAAGACTGACCATTCCGCCCAACAATGCCCTAGTCCTCCCAATCACCACTAAAAATTAAAAAAATCTCCCCAATGCTATAAAGAATTTTTATTCACCATAAAAAAATCAAGATATTTAATTAATTATTTATTTTTTTGCCACACTGCAAGGCTTGCAGTAACTTGGTTTCCCGACCAGGGATTGAACCCAGATTGCCTGCATTGGAAGCTCATAGTCCTAACTACTGGACCACCAGGTAATTCTCTACACTGATAGACTTTTTATATACTTTATCTATTTATTTTACTTCTTATACACTTGGTGCTGAAGCCAAATATTCCATCACAGGCATCAGTCTGATCTTCCTACTATGGTCTATGAGGCTTGGACACAATGGGGACCACTTCATGCCTCGGATGGAAGGCCAGGAGTGGTTCTCTCTCCCCTCACTGTCTGAAGAGTGTCTGAAGTTGGTGTCTAAGATAGCCTAGGGAAGGAACACATTCCCAGTACATCCTTTACCTGTTCCCCATTCCCTCTTGCACGGAAGTACAGAGTCTGCACATTCTGGATGGTCTCTGTTTTCACTCTCTTCTGTCTCTATTCCCTTTCTGCCAGACTCAAGGGTCTCTGCTTGTCGCTGAAGAATTGAGCCCACTTTCCTTGTTGAGCACAGTGATACCAAGGAAGTCCAGCATCACCTTCTCTGGGAAGCCTCCCCCGTCTCCCTCCTGGTGGTCTGTCCCTGATCCCCCAACCCTTGTAGTAACCATGATCTCTGAACGCAGTGCCTTGTTTTCCTGGTTATCTGTCCCCACCATGGTCTATGAACCTCTGAAGGCAGCCAGCCATGTTCTGTGAACCAACTACATATCTAACATCTACCACTCGCGTGGCACTGACATCCTTCGCACTTAGCGAAGCGATGAACAAGTCTGGGAGGCCTTCACTTAAAGGAGCATCCAGGGCAGCATGTGTGTGTCTTCATCCTCCACGACCAGAGGTGGGCTGGGGGGTAAAGGAGGGACTGGGAATGTGCTCCTTCCCCAGCTGATCTCAGACGCCGGCTTCAGACACTCTCTGGGAGTCACGCGGTGTCCAGCATTACTGCAACTCACTCCTAGCGTCATCAGCGCTGGCTCCACCCCTGGAGTCCATGCTAAAAAAGACCTCAGGAAACAGGAATAATGTTAGTGATGAATACCGCACTGGCCTCCCCATAAGGTTCCCAGACCCTCCGGGTGTTTCACCCAGTTGCTAGTGAACAGAAACGAGTTTCAGCCACATTGCTCTGCACACAGCTTTCTTCTGAAGTTCTCACCCTCTACTTTAACAGGTGTGCTCACAGGTGTCTTATTTTTCAAGTATCTGATGCACTGTGAGACACTGACCTTGGCACTGATGGGCTTGGTAGGCAGAGACCATGGAGAAAGTTTTGTGGAAGTAGAGTTGGTTCGTGTGTGTGTGTGAGAGAGCGGGTGAGAGCGAGCAAACGCACCTGAGGAGGTAGAGTGTATGCAGGTTTATCTACAGAAGAGAGGACAAACCTCCAAGATGATTCTGGTTTGGGAGACTCCTCAGCATCTCTCATGAGTGACCGTGGGTGTCAGGGTGGCGTCATCTTTCAAGCTGGGAGTGAGCAAATGTGTTTGGAGGGACTGGAAAGAGTGGAAAGAGGAGGCTGTAGCAGAGCTGAGCTCTGGAAAAGAACCATCATCCCGTTCTCACCACTGAGAGAGAACCTGTGACAGCACGGTGGTGTATGTTCTTTAGAATTGTGTGTGTGTGTGTGTGATGCCATGTTGTACACACCCCTGCCCCACAGTTAAGTCAAGAACATTATAAGCATCCTTTCATGTCATTAAGCATGGTTTTATACCTTGGTTCTTAGGGCTATCCAATATTATATTTTCTATTTTACGTATGCTGTGTGCGCTCAGTTGCTCAGTCATGTCCGTCTCTGTGTGACCCCATGGACTGTGGCCCACCAGGCTGCTCTGTCCGTGGGATTCTCCAGGCAAGAGTACTGGAGTGGGTTACCAAGCCCTCCTCCAGGGGATCTTCCCGACCCGGGGACTGAACATGCATCTCTTTACCTCTCCGGCATGGGCAGGGAGGTTCTTTATCACTGAGCCACCTGTTAGGACAGGACTATAATGTATTTTTCCTTCATTGTGAGATATTTAGGTTTGAACCAGTAAACCACATTAACAATTCCTGAGAAATAAAAATAGAATCCAGGTAAGAAAATAAAATCTAACCTTTTTTCTTCCTTCTCCTTCGTGTTCAGTCTACTTTCACTGGCTCGCAGAGGCCGCATGGAGAGGCCTCGCACCTGGAGCTTCAGGCCCTTCGGCAGGGTGGCTGTGTGAGGAGCACTTCACTGGACTCCCACCTCAATCAAGATGGCGGCGGGGGCTGTGTGGAGAGGCTGCACACGAGACTCGAGTCCAGAGCCTCGCGAGAACTCCGCCCCCTCCCGGCTGCCAGTGAAAGGGCCGCGCACAGCCTGTTGGGAGAGCTCGCGCTCTGGAGCGGGAGCTCGCCCGGTAGTTTCTTTGGCGAAGATACGACGCTTTCTTTTGCTTCTTAAGGCAACTGGGTCTCCTTATATTGGCTCCAAGGATGCCGGGCGGGAGGGCCCTTGCTGGCGCCCCACCTGGAAGGTAGGTAACAGTCCATTTTCTGTTGGTCACTATTTACTACAGTGCAGTTTGGCATTTAAAAATATCTAGTTACCAAACGGCATGTGGGAAAAGGCTTAGTTAGTGAATACTCATGCTTTTTATTTCTTGCTCTTTTCATTGTCATCGTTGGTTCATTTGGGAGTGTTGCTGTCTTGGCCCGATCCCATGGGAAGTGTTTGGAGAGCAGACTGTTCCTCATTCTGATCTTTAGGTGCCCCGACATCAAGACGACACAGACCACACGGTGGGCACCCAGTCGGGGAGGTGAGGTGTGACGTGGCGCTGATGGGTACAGCACCTTAAGCATTCATCACAGTTTGTTGTTGTGTTGTTTCTAATTAAGAGGTAGGTTATTGAGATGCTTTTTTTGTTTGTTTCTAATTAAGAGGTAGGTTATTGTTAGTTTGTTTGTTTGGGGTTTCTTTGGGGGCCACATTTCGAGGCATGTGGAATCTTAGTTCTCCCACCAGAGATCAAACCCAGACCCTTGGCAGTGAAAGCGGGGAGTCTTAACCACTGGATCACCAGAGAATTGCTGATAACTTTTTATTATGAATAGGTCTGTTTTAAAATGTGTTTATATCATAAATGGCTCTATGGATTTTCACCCACTTGAACAAGCCTGAGTGAACAACCACCAGATAGAGACCTAGACTATTCTGGAACCCCAGAAACTCCTCTGGTACCCCCTTACATTCCACGCAATGTCTTCTGTTTGGTTCCGTATTGTTTTGCTTTGTGGTTATTGTAGGTGCTTTTGTTTTTCTTTTTTTCAGATTCAATCTTAGGAAATGGAATCTTGCCTATAGCATCGGAAGGGCAAGCCCTCCTCATGGCGGGGGGAGGAGAGCTGTTGATGCAAATACAAAAAGGCACAATTTTAATAATAACAAAAAAATTAAGGCATTTAGAAGAGCTGATGAGATGCAGTTGGAGGGTAAGAGCATTTACAAGAATGTCATCCTTTGAACCTCTTAGTTCAGACCTCTGCAGGAGAAAATTTATTCTTGGCATCGTCTGGCCCCCATGTTTAGTAGTCAATCATAGATTCATTTATTTTTCATTCTTCATTCATTCCACCAAGCAAATATGTTGATTGATTGCCATCTTCAGGTCTTAGGCCAATTGTGTTGCTGGAGAGAGAGCAGGATTCAGAATCAATAAAGGCCCTGCCCTCAGGGACTGACAAATAAATAAGAAAAGCATTGTTCTTGTGTTAGTCACTCAGTCCCATCCAGCTCTTTGCAACTTCATGGACTGTAGCCGGCCAGGCTCCTCCTCTGTCCATGGGATTTTCCAGGCAAGAATACTAGAGTGAGTTGCCATGCCCTCCTCCAGGGGATCTTCCCAACCCAGGGATTGAACCCAGGTCTCCTGCATTGCAGGCAGATTCCTTACTGTCTGAGCCATGGAGGAAGCCCAGGAAAAGCATATTACATGTCAGATGGAGAGGACAGGGAACTCCAGCAAGTAGCCCCGTTTTCTGCAGGCAGGCAGAGGAGGACCTCCTCCCACGGAAGCCTTTAGAAGAGGCAGATCCAGGAATAGTGTCCCACAAGGGCAGAGGCTCCAAGGCTTGAGCTACCAGGTGTATCTGAGGAGTGGGAAAGTGAAAGTCGCTCAGTCGTGTCTGATTCTTTGCGACCCCATGGATTGTAGCCTGCCAGGCTTCTCTGTCCATGGACTTCTCCGGGTAAGAATACCGTAGTGGGTAGCCGTTCCCTTCTCCAGGAGATCTTCCTGACCCAGGGATCGAACCCTGAGTCTCCCACACTGCAGGTGGATTCTTTACCACTGAGGAGTGGGAAGGAGACCCAAATGATTGAAGCCAGAGGATCAAGAGGAGGAGCTGGATGTGAGGTTAGGTTGTGTTTTAGTTTTAGTTTTTGTATTGAGTCTACTGTATGGCTAAGATTTCTCCTGTGGGGCAGGAAATATGATATCAGGATGTTCTAGGTGTGCCTTAAGTATGAGAGCACAAAGAGGAGTAACTGAGATTAATTCTGGGGCCTAAGTGCGTTTCACAGGTGGTGCAGGGGCGTGGTGTGCAGGCCTTGTGGGTGCTTGTGGTGACTCCGTGTTTACTCTGCGGGCCATGGGAGCCTTGGGGGTTGGGAACATAAGATATACATGACCTGGACTAGATGACAAAGACCACGCTGACTGCCATTGAGATGTTATGAGGGTGAGAAGGCAATCAGGAAAACCAGTTTGGAGTCTAGTTGGGCTTCCCTTGTAGCTCAGCTGGTAAAGAATCTGCCCGCAATGCAGGTGACCTGGGTTCGATCCCTGGGTTGGGAAGATCCCCTGGAGAAGGGAAAGGCTACCCACTCCAGTATTCTGGTGTGGAGAATTCCATGGACTGTATAGTCCATGGGGTCGAAAAGAGTCAGACATGACTGAGTGACTTTCACTTCACTTCAACACTCCAGAGGGGACCTTCCTGGTCCAGTGGCTAAGAGTCCAATGCAGGGGGCCCAGGTTTGATCCCTGGTCAGGGAACTAGATTCCACATGCCGCAATTAAGAGATCCTGCGTGCCACAGCTAAGACCCACTGCCACATCAATAAATATCAAAACAGACAAACAAACAAACAACACTCCAGAGGAGAGAAGATCTCCCTCCCTGTTATTTATTATTGTTTAACAGACCACCCCCAAACTTGTGTCTTAAAACAGCAATAGTTTATTATTTCTCATGGTTCTGGGGCTGCTCAGGCAGTTCTTTCACATCACAAGTATCAGCTGGGTCCTAGTTTCCTCCCATCTTTGTAGGCCTAGTAATTTTTTTTTTAAACCGTTCACCTATATGCATTTGACCTTGTTGGGTGTGAGGTGTTTTTAAGTTTCCATGAATATTCTCAAGCTTTGTTCTGGGATGCAGTTAAATGACCTGGAAATAGTTTGATCCTTTCAGGTCTTGCTTTTAAGATTTGTTCAGTAAGATCAGAGCAGTGTTTAGCGTCCAAGACTCATTATTCATTGCTACTGAGGCAAGACCCTTCCGAATATCCTGCCCATTGTCTGGAAATTGTGAGGGTGTCCAGTCTGGCTGAATGAGCTCTGGTGTTGGTGTGTGATGTGCAGAGTTGCTTCAGTCGTGTCCAACTCTCTGCACCCCTATTGACTGTAGCCCTCCAGGCTTCTCTGTCCATGGGATTCTCCAGGCAAGAATATCAGGGGGGCTGCCATGCTCTCCTCCAGGGGATCTTCCCGACCCAGGGATTGAATACGTGTTTCTGTGTCTCCTGCATTGGCGGGCTGGTTCTTCACCACTGGCGTCACCACTCCAACCCAGGGTGGTTCTCTGTGAAGTCTTGTGAAGTTTCTTCTGGTGTGTGTGCTGACCAGTAGTCAGCCGATGCCTGCACACGGGTCCTTTGTCTCGAGTTCTGTCTCCCCACTGCACTGCCCTCTCCGGTGCCCTGCCCTCTGAACTTGGCCGCTGCAGTCTCCCGGGCCCCTCAGCCCCACCTCTTCAGCTCAGAGTCCATGCTGCCCCTCCTGGACCCCCCCTCTCCAAACATGTTGACTTTGAGATGCTTCTTAACCATCCCAACGGGGATTCCTTGAAATGTTTTCTGGAAGAATCCATTACAACAGCCCAGACTTCTCCGATCAAGGTGAGTCAAAGACTCAGGTGCATCTCCTGTTATATTGTTTATCAAGTGATTGCCTTGACATTTGAGATCTGACTTTGGGCTCAGTCTGGTCGCTGTAACTCCTTCAATTCTTTCATGTACTGGTGTTTGTTCTGGTTGACGAGCCTCAGAACTTTAGCTTTGTTTCTACCCTGTTCAGCTAAAGGAAAACATACTTTGGTGATTTTGGTTATTCCTTATTTTCAGCAAAGATCACACTTCCCTGGTGATCCAGTGGTTAAGACTGTGCTCCCAATGCAGGGGGTCTGGGTTTCCCTGGTCAGGAAACTAGGAGCTTCCCAGGTGGTTCAGTTAGAGAATCTGCCTGCCAGCACAGGAAACTTGGGTTTGATCTCTGGATTGGGAAGTTTCCCCTGGAGAAGGAAATGACACTCCACTGCGGTATTCTTGCCTGGAGAATCCCATGGACAGAGGAGCCTGGTGGGCTACGGTCCATGGGGTCACAAAGAGTTGGACAGAGCACAGAGCACAGGAACTAGACCCCACATGCCACAACTAAAGAGTTTGCATGCTGCCCTGAAGATCAACAGTCCTGTGCGCAGCAGCTGAGACCTGGTGCAACAAATAAATAAATAAAAATAAATATTATTTAAAAATAATAATAAAATAAATATACTTGAAAGAGGCTTTGTTTTTAACTAGTGGACCTCAGTGCTATTTGTTAGTAGTAGGGGTTTCCACGGTGGCTCAGTGGTAAAGAATCTGTCTGCAATGCAGGAGACCTGGGTTTGATGCCTGGGTCAGGAAGATCCCTTGGAGGAGGGTATGGCTACCCACTCCAGCATTCTTGCCTGGAGAATCCCATGGACGGAGAAGCCTGGCGGACTACAGTCTATGGGGTTGCAAAGAGTTGGCCATGACTGAGCGACTGGCTTTGGTAAATGACATAGTCTTAAAAACATTAGTTAGAAAGTATTTAAGGTATTCTTGTATCAGTCTCACTCACTTCTGCAGAAGCCAAGACTCTTGCTTGCAAATCACGGAAACCTCAAACTAGCATAAGCAAAAGTCCAAAAAGAAATCCCCTTACAAAATTGGAACTTGTAGGCTCATATAGATCCAAAGCTTAAGAGGAAAAGCGGCAGGGCCTGATTCCAGCCAAGTCTTCAGAATTCTCTCCCTCTTAGTTCTGCTTGCCTCTCCCTGTCTTCATTCTCAGTCTGCTGGGCCCAAGTTTCTGTTGGCCTTTAGGTTTTGATCTCAGAGAGAAACAGAGAACATGTTCCCCAGTACCTCTGGCAAAA